AAAGGAGCACTTCAACATGACAGAATCAAAATCAGTCAAATTATCAACAACTTCAAATCTGGTCCATAAATTAGATAAATAAAAAAATCTTTTAATTACTCTTAAAATCCTCTTATCATCATACTGTGAAGATTTTTTTTAAACCAGCCCTACTTAGTATACTTAGGAGCCAGAGCTGTTGCAGTAGTGTGGAGTCATGAGGCTGGTTAGGAGGAAACTCTTTTCTCTGACTATTGCTCCTTGCCGATTGTTTCCTCAACCCCACTCAGCTCTGTGTAGTCCTATTACTCATTTGAACAAAATCCATAATCACAGTATCACTACTACCATAAATTCATAGGAAAAAAATGTATGCTAATGAAAGAAGTTGATACTTTTTTTGTTGTTTTTTCATTTGTTTTTTGCCAAATATGGTGTACCACAGAGCGTTTTTGTACAGGAGTGTTTTGTGTATATGTATTTACAAACAAATATACACAAACAGCGTTTGCAGACTTCAGAGTGCGTTTTCTGTGAAAGGTTCATTGCCCCCCCCCAACTGCAAGCGATCTTTATATAAACAAAGAAAAAACAAAACAAAAAAAACAGAAGCACATCCTGAATTGATGACCGCGTCACCGTCAGGAAGTGTGTCTGATTGGACGGTCGAGTGACGCAGGTGTGACGTCAGAGATGTTACCGCATGGATTCCATTCACACCTCAGGGTGTTGGCATATTTCATTTACAGCTTTTATTTTGTTGAATAAGCTACTTGCAGCCCGAGCTGCAGATGTGCCCTATGGGCTTATGAACACTGATGACATTCCCCTCCACTCCACATTCGCCTCCACCAATGAGAGTAGGGCCTGTGTCGAAAGCGGGGTCCTCTCACCCGCTACTAGTGTTTTTGTAATAAGGGTGTGGGGGTGCCAGATGCTGTGATGGAGCACATGGAAGATTGTCCCTGTAAATCCACACAGAACACATCTGGAGGAGGGAAGCGAAACATAAAACAAATTCCACAGAAATCTTTAAGGATACTTATGTCAAAGTAAATTACTGGTTGTTTCTTTTTTTAGATGTCTTGTGTTTTGTTTTTATAGATTTTCTTACCACTGATCACCATTCCTTTTAGCCATTATTTGTTAAATAGAAGTAGATGTAGCAACAAATTTCTATCATTAAAAACATTTAAAAAATCTCAACGAATAGATTTTGATTAGCTAGGTCTTGTCCTCTCGTGCTTTTTGTCTTAAGTGTGTACACATATGCATTTACTTCATAATATATATATTTTTTGCGATTGCGATGCTCACACTGGTGGGTACATTCATAGATGCGAGGTGAAGACAGAATCCTCAGCCCGGTCCCCTTGTGTCCGGTGTACGACCGATTTTCCTGTCCATGTCACTCTGTTCCAAGAAGCTTTATGCCACTCACTGGTCCTTGGTTGGTTTCAGGAGGTACAGTATTCACTTCCCTCCACACCAGAAAGGAGCTCAGAAAGGAAACGACAGAGGATCTGATCTAACACCGGTGAGGGTCAACTCCCGAGGACCAAAAGGGGTTTGATGGCGCTATTCACCATAACATAGCTCCTCACTAGTCAATGCTGCTCCAAATACTTGCGCACACACACACAGACACTTAACACACAAAGAAACCAAACTCCCCTTCAGTCA